AACTATGAAGGCTGAATAATAAACTTTGAAACTGAAGTCGTAAAATTCTCGAAACTCTCCAGAGATTCAAAATCTATTTATTTCTTCTTTCTTTTTTTCTTCTTCAAAAATTATCTATTTATTTTGTCAAGAATTTTTACATTTATTCATATTAAATAAATTTATTTAATTTCATATTCTGGAAATTTTAATAAAATGGAGTTCATAGTTATTCTTTTGATTTACAAAAAATTTCATTTTTTCCTTCTGAAACTATTGTTAAGAAATGACGAAATCGCATGAATTAAAATGAGTCTAAAGTTTAAACTGCAACATCTTTAAATTTTTTGCCAGTCATCTTTTATCCAGACTTCGAGATTTTTAGAATTGCAAAAAAAAATTGAAAATTCCGAATGACCAATCTCTATAAAATATTATTTATTAAATAATAATAAAAAAAAATTCATTACCTATGCAAATTTTTCAATCAATTAACTGTCTGAGATTAGTGTCAACAATTTCCATAAATCAGTTAATGCATAGCAACGAAAGTCGACGATTGCAATGACACATATGTCAATCCATCTCAAGGTTATTCGGTCTTTTCGACCTATATTTTTCCATGGATATATGTGAAACGAAATAAGCAGCTTAATTGAAATCTTGTTTTCAGGTGAATATCTTTTTTTCCTGGTCATTTCGCTTCGCATGACTAAACCTGAGTAGAATAAATTAAGATAAACAGAGAAAAAATGTTGACAAGGAGTAAAGAAAGTAAAAATATGATTGATCGTAATACGCAGATGTAGATGATAGCGAGCCGCCGAACAACATTTTTCCGCGCATTATTTTCAAATAAATATCTTTTACAGATTGAAAAAATAGTGCAGAATGCGCATCGATCGGTGTCTCTCGTCTGTGCTCCATTCTCTCATAAATAACGAGAAATGACTACCTTGGCGCGAGGACTTAGGAACTAAGCGTTATGCATTTGAAAAAATACTAAAAAGATGTAATGAAAAAATTAATAGAAAATGAATAATCGAGGAGAAGGGCGGATGATGAAAGAAACGATAAATTACGGGCTCCCCCATTCATTTGTTATTGATTAGATGGTAACGATTCTTAGACATTTCTTCATATTTAATTTCTTGTACTTAATACTGTTCAACGTTAAATCCTTTTATTTGTTAAATAACATCGTGTGGAAGCTGATAACGCTTTGACGTTTTGAATTATTGACGAGGATTTACTGTTAGATATTATTAGGTAGAAGAAAACATTAGCGCATTTGATTTTGTAATACTCGTAAAATATTGCTATTCAAACATTTAATCGATCCACACGGTTAACGTTAGACAAGAATTAATTTTCTATACGTCGAATGACTGTGTTGGCAAACATCAATTTTCAAAATGGCTGTCTGAACAATTTACTTGTTACACGTGAGCCCGTAATTCTCGCTATATAGCGACGATAAAGTGAGCAATCCCACGAGAATGATGATTGCTACGATATCTACATTAGTCAAAAACAAAAAGCAAAAATATTGTTCAGGAATGCAGGATTTGCATTCGCGCTAATCCCAATGATTTGTCGCATACATTTGACACGGTCTAAATAATAAGGATCGATCAATCGTCAAATTGTTAAAATAACTCCTAAGAAGCTGTCACTTCATAAGTAAATAAAAAAAAAAAAAAAACTAAGATTCCTTAAAGCAAAAGCTGATTTTGTGCATTACGATTACTAGCTTCACACATCGTTAATTGTTTTTCTTTTTTCCCTTGTTTTTTCATTTCATTGATTTATTAATGTAAAATCGATCGAGCTGGTCGCAACGCGCCAAGGAGTAAACAATTTCTGTTCTTTTTCCTCCTTTTTTCCCCCTCTTACACTCTGCGATTTTTCAACGGCTTCGTTCATTCCTTCTTGCACCGCTGGAAAAAGTATTTGCCACTCTCCATTTCTCTTTCTCTCCCTTTTTCTCCTCCCCCTCCTCTTTCACACTCTCTCTCTCTCTCTATCTCATTCACTCTCAACGTAGTTTCAGGCACTCCTATATATTTACAGAACGTTATCGTCATCTCGCTTTTGCTATTTTCATTCGCATACAGCGTACGACAAACTTTTATTGAGCGGCGCTCGCTCAACGCTCCGAGTATGTTAACGGTTACAAGATAATTCGAATAATTAGGGAAAAGAATGAATGTATACAACACCAGCCATTTACCTACGTAACAATTACTACCGCTCTATATACAACGAATCACTAATGCTGTCGCCGATTGTACCAGAAAAACTGAAAAATCAAAGGCGAGTTTTCATTTCCTTTTTTTTTTTTTTTTCCTTTTTTCTTCCCTTTTTTATTTATTCGTATCTCTGGATCGACGAGATTATCATATCGGAAAAAGGTACAAGGGACGAGAATACCATAATAATTATAGGAATATCACGAAAAAATATTCAGCCTCGAAAAAATTAAATAATGTGGCACTTGGTGAATCTCGTTCCACCGATTCAAAATATTTAATAAAATGGAATATCTTCTTTTGTGGGAGGAAACGGCGATTCGAATTCTGCATCCAATAAAACGACGCTCCTCTTTCTCTCTATGTGTAGTATACGTGTGTGTATATATATATATATATACACACACATACACACTGCATACTCGTGTATGTATATACATATATACGCGTATACGCGCGCGCGTCCATTCACACATACACACACGCACACACATCGATCATGTACTTCCCAGTACAATCATAATTTTACAAGAACAAAAAAAATAAGATGCCAGCATAAAAATATAGGAGAATCGCGAGATTATATTAAAACGGAAATACTATAAAGTGGAGTTAAATTTCAGAATAAAAATAAATATATTATCGAAACACTGACGGAGATATCCGACACAAATCCGCTCGGTTCAAATAGAACCAACTGAACGACCAAACGATATAATGATTATGTAATATGCATGCGTGTGTGTGTGTGTGTGTGTGTGTGTGTGTGTGTGTGTGTGTGTGTGTGTGTGTGTGTGTGTGTGTGTGTGTGTGTGTGTGTAGTA